ATGATGCATCTGGGTGTGAAACTATATACTGCTCTTTGTCTTTACTGATTGGGACTCTGCGTGCTTCTTGTACTTGAAGATTTAGGTCTTTAACTAATTTTGGCAATTTCTCCAGTCATGCTTTTGCATATAACCTCTCTTATATGTTCTCTTTTCTCTCTTTCTATAATGCATATCGCGAATTATTTCTTTAATTCAGTTGTATCTTACATTTCTCTGCACTGATTTCCAAATTCTAAAGTGATGACTTCTAAGGTGTACATTACCTCCTTATCTCTAGCATACCAATACTCATCCATTGAATTTTAATTATAATCCTATTTTTTCACTTGGTAAAATTGTTTAATTCTTTATCTGAACTGCTTTTCTTCTTATGTATTTTTCTTTTTTCTCCTCTTGTGTCTTAATTAGTTCAAACATATTTAATTTTGAGTCTCTATTATATTGTGTTAGCTTTAATTTCCTGGGGTTTTGATCCCTTTGTATATTGTGTCCGCTATCACTTAAGGTGGTTTGTTTTCAGTGGGATGCTGTAATTTTGCATTGTGAACTCATCCTCGGTATGGCTTTATTATGAAAATCCTATGTAATCTGGGTCAGATTTTTTTTAAGCTTTTGGTTGTTAACTTTTTTTTTTTTTGCCTGGAACCAATTTTTATGTTAATTTCTCTAGCTGGAGGGCCCCAGTCTGTGCTGGCAGCATGAATTCAATATTAGACCTATGTGAGATGTAGTCCTGAGCACTGAGTACAGATTCATTCATTAAAAAATGTGGTGTTTTTCTCCCTCATGCCTAGAATTCAGATGGAGACCGACAAGCCTCTGCATTGTCTTTCTGTGCCATCAAAAGGAATTTTTCTGATCCATCTTCTCACTTGTGTTATTCTAAGCTTTATAGAAGGTTCTCAGTGCTAACGTCCATTTCCCAGGGGACCAAGACCTTGTCTCCTGTCCCTTTAAGAGTCTTAAACAACCAATATTCTAGGTCATAGAGATGGGCACCTGGGTCATTACCTCCAGGACAATGCAGAACCAGCTTACCAGCTTAATGCTCTGTTTTTTTTTTCACTCCCAATTCATTCCTGGCCTTTGGAGATTTAATTTTATTCTTGTGGGTTGTATGACTAACCCAGCACTTCTGGGTGTTTGTAGTAGGAAGATGTTTATGTTATCTTGTCTGTAAGCTCTAAGTGTTTAATCCTAGAGTTGTATTTTTGGTACATAAAGGTGCCATGATTCATTGCTTCAACCATTCTCTTGCAATAGCTCCCAAATCCTTGGCCCTATTTTCCTTCCTGGCAAACTCCAAAATGGTATCTTGCCTTTGGAAATGCCATTCTACCTTTTCTGAACTTCTACTTTTCCTGCCACTCCGCCTTCACACTTCCATTCTCTGCTCAAACTTTAATGTGACCTAGGAACCCTAGTTCCTCTTGTGAGTCATCTCTCGTCTTCCCCACAACTATTTTAAAATCTTTCCACTCTCCACAGCCCTCCACCCCCCACCCCATACAGAAGTATTTTCAGAAGATAAACTTACTTTCTACTTTCTAAAGAAAATAGAAACCAACAGAGCTTTATCATATTCCATCCCCCAAACTCATTACCTTGCTTATACTGGAATAAGTATAAGCTTTTCTCCTTCCTATTACAAGGAAGGAAGTTCCTTCTTCCTAAGTACAGTGATCATAGAATTTATCATTGAAGCCTGGATATTTTGAAAGTAAAAGGAGGACTCTATTAATAATTGTGCCAGGACAACAGGTGTAAACCAGAGCTGTCCTGGGCAAACTGGGACAAGTGGTCCCTCTGTGTATGGCTTATCACTCTACTTGTCCCCTAAATATGCTGTTTTTGCCTTCTCAAGCTCTATATTCCCTTGAATAATCCACCTCTCTCCTCTATGTTCAAATGTCCTTTTCTCTGAGCTTCTTCTCATTCAGATTTTAATGTTTTCAGTATTTTTTTTACATTTTAATCTTTTTAAAAGAGAAATCTTGCAAAGCAACATGACCTGTAAACCTGCTCTAGTTCCTGCTCACTTTTTTGACTTTTCCCTTTTCTCTGCCAAGTTTATTGAAAAGTTTGTTGACCCCCCCACTATCTCTTTTTTTTTTAGCTTCCATTCTCCATCATTTATGGGGAATTTTGGCTTTTTCTCTCACCCCTATTCTGACTCTGCTCTTGGTAGTGTCACACGTGGTTATCTGTTCTTTAAGGGAGCAGTAGCCAGCATTAGTCAATCCTTTAGACACCTCTGTGAGTTACATGTCCTCTCTTTTCCCCAGTTTCGTAAAATGGCACAATGATAGGACCTTCCTCACCGACTGTTAGTGAGGATTAAATAAAATAATGCACGTAAGCATCTGGCATTTTAAAATGTTAGCGTTCCCGTTCCTCAGCATTTTGGAAAGACATCCATGTGTGGCCGCGCTGGACTGAGATGGTTTCATTAGTAATTTTGCATTTTACTGTTTGGATCTTTTAAGATGGGACAGAAATGTGGAGGATCTTCATGTTGCCATTCCAGAAATCCAGCAGACTGAGGATGGCGGTCTGGAAAAGGAGCTTTCCTTTGGGGTTGAGGGTGTTTCATGTTTGTTATGGCAGCTAAGATTTAGTGAGTGTACTCCACCAAGTCCGCAATGGGCATGCTTCTCGTCATTAGAAGCTAGCAGCATTGAATGGCGTTATGGAGTTCTCATTTTAATTTAGTCAAATGAATGTTCAGAGTTCCTGACACAATGCATAACGAATGTTCATCTGCCTCACTGGCTATGGGCCGGCTTTATCTTCAGCTATACTATTACTAGTTACGAGGCATTCACAGATACTTTGGGCTTGTGCCAGTTGCGTTTCAGTTGGTTTTTCACCTGTTCTGAATTGTAGGTTAAATTGGCCTTTCCTTTAAATAGATCACGTCTGCATTTATCTTGTGGAAATGCCTGAACTATTTCTTGAAGTGGAAACCAACCTTTCAAACTTCAAGAGAAGATATACAGATTTGCTACAATTTTTATGTTCTAATAGTAATAATTGTAAGTGATGCCATTTATTAAATGCTTATTATGTACCAGCAACCATGCTAAGCATGCCGCAAATTTTCATATATATTGGCTACTTTCATAGAGACTCAAATGGAATAAAAAGAGATGTGTGCTAAGAAGATCATCATACCTGTTAGTATAATCTTAAATGCTATTATGAGCTCTCAATATTTAATAAAAGTTTAATAAAAGTTTAATAAAGTTTAATAAAAACCTCTCTATTAATTGTTAAAGCAATGAGCATGACCCCTTAAATGTTAAGAAGAAAGAAGACAGTATTTAGTTTTACTGATAGGTGTGAGACAAAATTAAGTGGTAAGTCCAGGCCACACTATGTAACTGGACTCTAACTAATTATGATTTGTTTTAATTTTCCCTAAGTCGCTGCTAAAGCAAATAGTTTCAGTATCTATGAAGACAGGGACCTAAACTATCCGTATTCTATATTATTATACAGAGGGCTTATATTTAATATCTTCAAGAAGAAAATCTTTATGATATTATATACCAATGGATAACGTTCAGTCTGTATCATTCCACATACAGTTCAAGGAAACACTGAATCCAGGCAGATAGTCAATATGTCTGAATGTGTGACCAAATATGTTTGTATGTTTATTTTTCACTGAATGAGTCACATCAATTGGTTATTGCATACTGAGCTTTAAATATCATTGCTAATGCCGAAGACACTAAATTATAGCAGCTATGCTGACAATATATCTTTTTTACATCTGACAGTCATTATTCCTATCATCCATCCTCATTCTTTTCTGTCAGAAGTTAATAGAAATTCTGTGAGCGATGGATGCTCACAGACATAATAAACATGGTATCTCAGTTAGAAGCAAATGTGGGAAATAAGATTATTAATGCTGTGAGAAAATGGTCTAGTTAGGAAATAAAAATAGTCTAAAAGGACCTAATAGAAAACTGTATGATTGAGAAGGAAGAGACGTGAGCTTAAATGAATAGGAAGAAATAGATGTAAGCCATGGGGAACTCTCGAAGTCTCTCCCCATTGAACAATACTTCTGGCTAGCGTGTGACAGTCCAAACATTTATCATTCAGATTAGGGAAAAGCTGAAAAATAGGTGATGATTCTTATAGTCAACATTTACTGAGTGTTTACAAAAGGCCGGGCACTCTGCTAGATACTGTCACCACCTTATCTCAGTGAATACTCATAGCAGACTCCACTCTACAGATGAGAAAACTGAGAGAGGCTCTGTAGCATGGAATAGAAAGAGCTACGGAGAGTTTTGTGTTTGGCTTGTGTACCTAGCACAGGCATGCTGGTACTCTCTACTTGTAAGCAAAATGGGATGTGATTTTAGTGGGTAGAGCACCTAGCCCTATCTGCATTATGATTTCTCAGTGAAGACCTTGCCAACCAGTTGCTGAATTGGTTGACTTTAAAAGAACATTTTGAAAAATGAAAAATAGGTTGACAAGGTAACTTCATAGAGCTAGGAACGTGTTTAGTCAGACGTTTGGAGTCAGTATTTTATTCTTTTTCAACCCTTTGTGATGGACTACAACCTGAAAAAAAGAGTTACTTTTCTTCTTTTGACCTTTTAAAAAGTCACATCTATATGCTGAGAGAGATAAAAATGAGGGTTTTCAAACTTATAAACAAGGGAGAATTGTCCAAGCCAGACTGAAGTTCTGAACTGGTGTTCTACTGTTTTAGTATCTTAGTGAATTTAGTCTGTTTCGTTAAAAAATTACCAGTGAGTGTGGGCAATAGACAGAATATGATCTATTATACCAGTGAACACTTCTTTCTCTTTTCATAGTTTCGTAGTTTTGAACTTATGGCCTAGTATGCGGAACAGTTGAGGGAAGAGGTCCACCCACACCTCTGCCTTTGCAGGCTTATGTCCAGCCTTCACAGTTGAATGTGAGGCCCCTCTAACAGCACCAGAATGGGAAGGGATGCAACTCCTTACCCTCAACTTCCAGCTTCACCAATTTGGAATATGCCGTCCCGAGGCTGTTTTTTGCCACACATCGATAATGTCCTGCATCTTCCTTTTGCACATTATGAATCCTCAAACTTCCAGATTCAAGAACTGCAATGCGGGAATTTTCCTGCCAGGTACAGGGACATGAATTTTAAAAGATCCATGGCTTAATCAAGGAAATATTTGCCTTATTTCATCAGGTCATCATCATCGCTTGCTGTCATCAAAAATATGATTTGAACATTTATTTGATGTTTGTTTTGTATAACATACAATATTAAGTGAGGCAGTATAAGATTACCTAATGGATTTTAACAGTGGTTCTGTAATATATAGTTTATTTTCATTTTCTTTCATCACACAAGGACACCGAAGCTTATCTGATTTCCCAAAAGTCACACCCAAGTCTGTTTGATTCAAAACACTCTATGAGGTATCTTTAGGGGAATATATGTTTTTTGAAAAATTGGAAAATTCTACAAATAACAAAAAAGGTGGTCTTTGAAGTTAAGATATCACATTTACCTTTGGGGACTCTAAATTCAGTCTCATACAAAAATTCCTACTTTTTCATTGTAGGAAACCCACCAATATTTATAACAAAAGGAAAGTCAGAAAATTATCTAGGTTGTCTTCAACAGTTTAACGTCATCTGTTTTATGTCTGTTAAGTAAAACAAAGCTAATGGATTTTATACTTCATTCCAGTTGATTGACGTATGTCAACCCCTACATATTCTCTGGAATATTCGGAGCAGTGTAAGATGAACAGCCTCACTGAGTTCACAGGTAGTAGGTGACAATGAGGATACAATGTAACAGTTTCCCAGGTATGGGATTGGAAAGCAGTATAAAATAAGCATGTAAGCAACAGATTTTTAATTTGACTGCTCTGTGACTGAGGTGTTTGTCAGGGTGTGAGTTCACTGGCCTTGAGTGTTGGTGTTCTAACTTCACTCCAGAGGCTCTCATGCCTGTTCTTCCAAACCTCCTTTCTCTCTCTCCTCCCAGAAACTTGTTTGTCGGGTCTAACACCTGGATTTTAGTTTAATCCTTTTCATCACCCGTCTCGAAGATTCAGTGTTACAACATACATGAGCCAACTGCCCGCCAACCAACAAAACCCACTCGGACTTTGCTTCGGCTTTGCCTCCTTCTTCATCCCTAAAGAGAATTGTTGGTTTTCATCTCTTCCCCCCCCCCCCCCACCAGCCACCCCGCGGCTAGAATGCCTTATAGTTTGTGTGCATGGGAACAGGAGTGTTTAAGTTTGGTTAAAATGTTATAAAAGGGGAGACTTTTATGCTAGAAATTTGGACTCATGTAACTGAGTTTGCACAAAATTGTCATATTTGAAAATCTGTTGTATCGACATGTTTTCATAATAATGACTTACCCTGAGAGCACTTTCCCCCTTAATCCACGACACAGATGGTTTGGGATTGCCCATTGTAGTACATGGTAGAACTGCTTTTAATCCTTCTATTATTTTTACATTTATGGGAGGACGGGTTATTTTCGGTTCTAAAGGGAAATAAAACATCAAAATTAAATATGCAATGTGGCTGCATGAAGCTTTCTCTTTTCTATTTAGTTCTAAATATCCACTTTAAGAATAGTTAATTACATTATAGAATTTACCACATGCTGAGAGGTTTTTAGCAGATAACAACAGAAATCATTTTTCAGAGTTTAGGTTATCTCTGTTTTATTAATATCTTATTTGCAAAACACAAATGCATAAACATATTAGGAGTTTGAAGTCATAGTATTCTTCACTTTAAAAGATATTTAATAAAAAGTTGAGTAAGATAAACTGTCACCATAAAAATTCAATATTGTTTAATTCATACCAACAGACATGAAAATTTTGAAGAGACGTTTTTGGTCTATTTTTCATATAATTCTGAGTAAGACCTACTTTCCCTTCAGTTTCATCTTAGTTTGGCCCTTAAATTTGGTGATTAAAAAATAGATATATTTATCCTCTAGAAAGTAAAGGAGAAGATATTATATTAGTAATTGGAGAAATTCTGTTATAGAACATAGGGTAACTGTAGTCTGCAAGGCAAAATTTTGTAATTTACTGTGCTTGAACACTCTTAATTCCTTCAGAAGGAATAGTTTATGCCAGCTCCTGTTTATTCTCTAATAGTAAGCTTTCAGGAGTTATTAAATATAATGTATAGAAGAATTGACAAGTTCAGGATGCCTGTTATTTTACTACTTGAAGCATTCATAAATAATGAAAACTACACTTATTTCCTTAGTAATCTCGTGTTATAGATCTAAAGCAGAGGACTGTCTCTGCGAGTAAAACTACTGAGAAATGGATGCATTTTATTTCTTTTAGGTCATGTGCTGTAGTCAGTGTGCTACTGTGACAGAAAAGCACTAAATAAGGACTTTTTTCCTTCTACTTTGTGTGTGGGGGAGTTGATGGTATTTGGAAGTGATATTTGCAAAGACTTCATGGTCTATTGCTATTTAATCTAGGCATTTAGTGCCATTTAGAGTTGGTATGATCTTGCATTGTGGCAAAAAAAAGAAAAAAAAAAAACCAAGACAGGCTTTAAACATGTTATAGGAAAATATCACCTTTGTCACTTTGCCTGCTATTTAAAGCACACAACTCTCCTAATCAACAACAGTGAACCCCTCCATTTAGATGATGGCCAGCCACCTCAATTATGAGTTGGGTTGTCACACAGCTGCTGGCAAAAGCCGAGCTTAAAAGTTGATCTTCCTATGACATAGTCAGAGAGTGTTTTCCATACTTTCCACTGGGCTCCTTGAAGATCCCTATGGCAGATGTCTTAAGTAGATGACCTTTGTTTAAAGCAATTAACTCCTGTCTTCTCAGTGAAATAGATATCTTGGTCATCTGTTAGGTGAGAGGTGAGAAGAACCCTTGTAGGAAGTTGAATGTAAAGTGAACTAGGAATGAGTTGAGCGTTGATGTTGAGTCACAGATTCCCCCCTGTCAGAGAGCACTCTTCAGGTGGAACTGTGAGCACCGACTAAAATGAGCTGATCATCTGGCTGAAGTGAGATGCTGGAACTTCATGCTGTGCCAGCATGGAACAATTTTCTGATGGGTGACAGGGAATTTTGGAGAGGGAGCTCCTGGGGGGAGATGGAGTAGTGTTGGGGGGGGGTGAGTCTTGGGCATCTCAGGAAGAAGCTCAGTACCAAGTGGTGTGGGAGCATTCTAAAATGTTAGCAACTGGGATGGCCACACCACCATATACCCACATGACTGGGTGAGTTTACCTAAAGAAGAAAAGAAGATTTGGGATAGAACCAAAGTAATGAACATTTGGTGCCAGAGAGAATATGAGAAATGCTCAAAGGAAAGGTGGCACCACAAAGTTGTGAAATGCTTAAATGTGCTCTGTCTTCAGAATCAAGACTTCATTATTTAGCAAAGGAGAACATTCCAGTTTCCTACTTGATTTCCCCGAGTAAGGAATGCCTTCTTGTGGGTACATCCCTATCCACTTACTGAACCCTCAGATAGCTTCCCCACAATGTCCCACTAGCCCTATTACTTTCCTATTCTAATGAATCTAGGACTTCATTTATAAGTATGACCAAACATAAAAGATTAACAGATGTTTGAGAAAAAACATGAACATGGAAGAAAAGAACCAAAGGAAAATCAGAACTTTTCATGAAGAAAACAGAAATAAGATAAGGAAAAGAAGGCAAAAATTTTTGAGAGGGAGGGAGGGAGGCAGGCAGAGAGAGAGAGAGAGAAGCAGGGCCCTCAAAACCCAACACAGGGTTTGAGCTCACCTGATGTGGGACTTGAACTCACCCAATGTGGGACTCGAACTCACCCAATGTGGAACTCAAACTCACCCAATGTGGGACTCGAACTCACAAACCGTGAGAACATGACCTGAGCCCAAGTCATATGCTTAACCAACTGAGCCACCGAGGCACCCCAGGAAAAGAAGAATTCTTTTTTAATGCATTAGTGTTATCCTTACAGAGATGAGCAAATATTGCATCATATAACATGTAGAGTTTGCTATGAGAAAAAAATGAGCAGGGAGATAATTCCTAGAAATTAAAAACACGGGTTTTTAAAATCGAAGTAATCAGTATAAATGTAGAATAATAGAATGGTCATATTGAAGACTTCAGTTCATGATATAGAAGGAAAAGTTAAATATATCTCCAATAAGGTAGAATATCAAGATAGATTTGTAGAAAGTATGAGGAGAAAAAAATTGGGGTTATGAAAAATGGAAAAAAAACAGAGATATAATGTGTTAATTTAAAAAGTTTAAGAATGAGATAAAATAAAGAGGGAGAAAAATTAAAATATATACCTCATTTTGAAAAAACAATAACAACAACCCTTATGCTTTAGATTCAGAAGGCCTACCTAAAACTCCATAGGAATCATAAGAGAACACATTTAACATATTCCTATGAATGGGAGAAATTTATGAATTCTAGAAATACAGAGAAAATAGTAATATTTTTAAGAAACATAAACATTAGATTTACCTATAGGAATAAGAAAAAGCTTTCTCAGCTGCAGTATAGCATGCTCATATGATACTGAATAATTTTCAATACAAGCTAAGGGGAAAGCCTTTTTAAATTCTTGTCTGTACCTGGACAAGTTATTATCCGGGAGGCAAGGCAAAGACTTTCAGCAATTCAAAGATTCAGAAAATATATGCTCAGATTATATGTGATCACATGCTCACACTTTGAAAAGAAGCAGTGAACTCAGCAAAAACAATGACAACAAAGTATAAAGATAGAAGATTTAGTGATGATAGTCAAGAACCACAACAAAACTTGCAGTAAAGTTCTCAGGTGGACCTGGACCCTGCTGATTCGTATGGTGTCAATATGGATGTTTTGTGATTTTTGCCCTCAGCAGCATGATGTCAGAAAGAAGGAAATAAAAGTTATGACAGGATAGATGGTTTGCAAGCAGCTAATGCTTCTAGCAAGGAAGTCATGAGATCAGAGGGTGCTGGTAAGAGTGCTTAAAGATACAACACCAGGTGGGAGACAAAACCAAATGAAGAGAGAAGTTACTAAGTCCCGCATGGGGGTCGGGGGAAGGGAGAAAGGAGGAGAATGTGAACATGCTGCTGATGGCTCTGCAGTGGGAGTAAGGGAGGGAGAGAGCCTGACTTTGACTCTTAACTGAGAAAGAGACAGACGGAGGCACATCCTGAGTGTGGGAAAGTGTTTTCTTCATGGGACAGCGCTGGGAATAGAAGTGTCCATGTTGTGAGCATGACGTACTGGAGCTTAAGATTTTAAATACAGACCATTTCCTGGGGGTGGCAAGGTCATTGATGGGATAGGCTGATAAGAAGTTAAGGCAAATATTACTGGACTTGTGGAGGTCAGGGGGTGTAGGGACAAAGTGGCTAGAGGCTGTTTCATGGTCTGGTACAATTCCCGATGGCAGCAGGGCAGGGGTCGGGGTGGGTAGATAGGAAGATAATGGTAGATAGGAATCAAAGTCTTTGGTAGCTATTAGGCGGGGGTGGGGGCTGAGGGCAGTACCTGGAAATGAGTAGGTGACTTGAATAGAGTTACAGGAGAGAATGGTCAGAACGACTCACGCCCTCATGAGAAGAAAGACTTTGCACAGCCATGTAAAGGTCATGGCTTAAAAGCCACAATGAGATCTAGGAGATTAACCACGAGTCCTTGCTTGCCTTGTAGACAGGAAAAGCGGGGAAAAAATAAAAAAGCCTCCAATGAAGCAGAAACGCCACTCAAGTTTGAAAAGTCACCCAAGAAAATCAAGTTTGGAATAAGGCCGAAGGGCAGAAGTGTCTGCAAAGAGGTTAGAGATAAAAAGCGTGTCTGGTTGTAACGGAACCATTTGAAGGGAGCGAGGAGAAGATTTTAGAGTGAAGCTCCCTGGTGGAGGGAGTCAAGGGGGAGCAAATCAGGAGCTGAGTACAGGCTAGAAACCAGGGGGAGCTTAGAGAACTGAGGGGCTTGCCTGTGGTTGAGGACAGGAATACAAGGTGTAGAATTCACTTCCTCAGGGTTGTGTTTTGAACTTGAGCTTGTCTGGTGGTGGAGCCCCCAGGTATGCTGGGGGCTCTATTTAGTGCCTGCTTCAGAGGGTACCAAGTCAGCTTTAACATCAAGAGCAGAGGCTCTCGCCCACTCACTCATCTTCACTTGCAGAGCCCCGCAGCTCTCCGCAGCGCCCCCCACGCCGTTGTTGGCCGTGCAACAGTAGATGCCATCGTCGCTGTCTTCCACACTCAGGATGGTGAGGAGCTGCCCATTCTCCCGGATGCTGTACCGGGTATCAAAGAGCCTGCAGGTCACAGACAGAAATGGCAGGTTAGGGCCTCCTGTGTGCTTTTTTTTCAGGCTGTGATTAACTGATCAATAGATGACCTGTCAGTGGAAGACGCAGGTTAAAAGCACGAGGAAACTTGGATGAGTTCTGAATAATAGAATCGCCTTATTTGGTAATATAAAGCTAGATTCACATTCTTATCTGTCCTGTGCTCCAATAATCAAAGCACCTGAGTCCTTCAGAAATGTTTTCAGGGGCGCTTGCTTGGGTGGCTCAGTCGGTTGAATATCCAACTCTTGACTTGGGTGCAGGTCATGATCTCACGATTGTGAGATCAAGCCCCACAGCAGGCTCAGCACAGAGTGTGGAGCCTGCTTGGGATTCCCTCAATCTCTCTCTCTCTCTCCCTCTCTCTCTGTCTCTCTCCCCACCATGCTTATTCTCTCTCCCTCTCTACCCCTCCCATGCTTGTTCTCTCTCCCTCTCTCTCTCAAAAAAAAAAAAAAAATGCCTTCAAAATGTAATGTCTACTGATGAGACCAAATGTAAAGTTTACGTTATTCAGGAAAGTAGATTATTACCAAGATATAGGAGTCTTCTCCCCACAATTACTGGGAAGTAACAGCTAGAGAACGAACACACATACATAAATGTGACCGGGGGGAGAGTTAAATACTTAGGGGTGTAACTAACAATTAGCTTAGTACTCATTTATTAAATATTTGTTGCGTGCCAAACAAGTGTCAAGCACAGTTCTACTTCCTTGGAATATAGAAGGAAGCAAAACAGCTTCAAACTGAAAATATGTCTTACATATATTATCTCAGTAAATTACATGCTGTTTGTTGAGAAGGGAATTAGGGAAACAGAAAAATGTGAGCAGAAGCATCAACATAAAAGTGGGTTTTATGACCAAATAAAGATGCTTTATGCAAAATGTATACATAAGACAGAAAAATGCCCCCCAACCTCAACCCAGGTCTTAATCTCCAGAATCTGTGAATATGTTGCCTTCCATGACAAAAGGGATTTTACAGATGTCAAGGATCTTAAAATAGAGTATCGTGGCTTATCCAGATGGGCCCAATGTAATCTCAATGGTCCTTAAAAGATGCTAGAAGAAAGCTGAAGGATGACAGGAGTTGTGACATTTGAGGCAGAGGGCAGAGGGCTGCGATTGCTGACTTTGAAAGTGCAGGTAGGGGCCAAGGAAGGCAGGTAGCCTCCTCAAGGCTGGGGGAAGGCAGGAAATCAGACTATTCTCCGGTGCCACTAGAAAGAATCCAGCCCTTGATTTTCAGCACCTCGATTTTCGCCTAGAGAGACCAACTTCAGACTTCTGACTCCCAGAACTGTAAGATAATGAATCTATATTGTTTTAAGTCACTGAGTTTGTGATACCTTCTTATGGTAGAAATTGGAAACTAATATGCAAACAAACAATGGAAAAGGAAGTGTATTCCTGATGTTCTGATCTCAACAGGTGCCCACCATCGCATCCTGATCCTAAAGAGAATAAAAGCATGTAGTACATTTTGGTCTCTTCTGACTGAGGATAGTATAATCACTGGATGGTTCACAGAGTCACAGTAAATAATTGTGGAAAGCCATGATACTCACTGCCACGTAATGTGGTTTTGCTATGTTTTTCGTGGAAAGATATGAACATTAGAATATTTCACAGACATAACTGTGGACCAAGAGTCCATCCACTCTGTGAAATAGAAAGTTTCCAAGATTTATAAGCTGTTGCACCATTGTTACTTAACTTGAGTAAATTGCTTGTAGATGGTGAGGATGCTTAAGTCTTTATAATTTTTAAAAAAGAACTCATTAGAACAGTTTTAGATTTATATAAAAATTGAAAAGACAGCACTTTCCATATACCACCTTCCATCTAGTTTCCCCTGTTGTTAACATCTTAGTGTGGTACATTTGTTACGATTAATGAGCCAATATTGACACTAATAACTAGTTTATGTAAGTCTTAGCTTATTCAGATTTGTTTCCATTTTACCTAATGTCGTCTCTTTCATGATCTCATGCACAACCCTGCATTACATTTATTTGTCATCTCTCCTTAGGCTCCTTTTGGCTGTAACAGTTTCTAAGACTTTTCTTGGTTTTTGATTACTTTGATAGTTTTGAGGAGTACTTGCTAAGTATTTTGTAGGATGCCCTTCTATTGGAGTTTACCTTATGTTTTTATTATGATAAAATTGGGTTTGTGGCTTTGGGGAGGAGGATCACAAAAGGAGAAGGCCATTTTATTACATAAAAAACAAGGGTGCATGCTATCGATATGATTTCCCACTATTGTTATTGACCTTTATCACCTGGCTGAGGTAGTGCTTGTCAGGTTTCTTTGGTGTAAAGCTATTCGGTATTCCTAAAAGGGAATACAAACATATTTTCAAAATGTAATTTCTTCTTATTTCACGGATCCTTTGACTAACAACTGACTATTCAAACTATAGCTCCATTTATTTCTTATGTATTTGTAACATTTTGCATTATAATAAAGGGAAGATTCAAATTTATTAAGCGATTTTGTTTAATATTCTTATCATGTCAATTTTCTTTGTGTAATTAGAAAAACTCTTCCATTGTTCATTTCTTCATCTCCTTGTAAGACTGAGAAAGAAACTTGTGAAAGGATCACAGGGCCATATTTTTCTAAGCTATTTAATGATATAGGCATCAAACTTCCTTCCCAGACATGGTAGAGGACCATGGTGGAGAGAATAGTCTTTGATCATTGATCTTTGAATATTGAAAGTTGACTGTCTAACAACTATTATTTTTTTAATGTTTATTTATTTTGAGAGCAAGAGAGACAGAGCACAAGAGGGGGAAGGGCGGAGAGAAAGGGAGACACAGAATCCGAAGGAGGCTCCAGGCTCTGAACTGTCAGCAAAGAGCCCAACGTGGGGCTCAAACTCACAGACCTCAAATCATGACCTGCGCTGAAGTCTGACACTTAACCGACTGAGCCACCCAGGTGCCCCTGTCTAACAACTATTATAATTTTACAGTAGAGAAGAGCATAAATAATATGTCAAGATCTAAGCAGCAGCTGTAATGTAATACAAAGCTATCTGTAACTTCTGTGGTGCCTTCACAGGTGCTTTTATGACCACTGTTATTCGTGATGCATATTGACAATGAGGGTTTTCTGTATTATTTAAAGACATTTAATTTTACTAGAGAATATAAAGACATAAATAATAGAGAAAACTCATGAAAATGTTGAGCATATAAATTGTAAAGCTAGTAGCCTATGAGATATTGGCACAATGACTCATGTTAAATGGAGATGAGGAAGAGATTCACTTATGGAACATAGGTAGAACTGGTAAGATGTGTTGAATATAGGCAATAAATGAAATAGCAGCGTGCCAAAGATTGATGGAATAAATAGAAAATATGATGGAATAAAGAAGAGCATCACTTAGAGTAGAAAGAGATAGAAAGAGAAGTTTATAATCATGCCATCTCCAGCCTGACAACTCTGTCAGTCCTTAACCACCCACTGGCGACATACAATGTGGTCCCTTTATGGTCCCATGCACTCTCCCCAAGCAACACTGATAAAATCCATGACTGTTCAGGTTAATTGGAAAGCTATCGTCATGGCCAGGGGTGCTTGTCCTTCTGTTTCTCGAACAGTGCAAGAATCTGTCATTAGCTTTGGTGCCTTCCACCTGTGGACCCAGTCTCCACTCTGGTCCTTGTAAGAACATGGCAGTGGGGAAGTCTGAGGCATAAGAGCAACTGGACATATAAACACTAAGTGAACCAAGATTCCTAAGTACGTTGACTTATCCCATTTCTTTCCCCTTGTTTCTATATACAGATTTCAAATTTACTAAGCTGTATTTCAAACATCTTATTTTGAGCCTTCCTATTCCAAGACTTCTGGAATAGTTTTCCAAGTAGACAACCTGAAGGTGACTGCAGCACAGGGTAGTTTCCCATATTACAACATGTATAATTGAAGGAAGCACTAAATTTCACTGGAGTTTAGTGCAAATAAAGACATAATTTTCCTTATGCAGGTTCATGGATCTGAGTGTATAGATACCAGTTCAAGAATTCTGGCTCTACTGCAAGCTATATTGCCTGCTGGGAAGCCAGTGGTTCCCTTTTTTTTAGAGTATTTTTGATCAGAAAACTATTGCAAATGAGGAAAAGATAGCATGACCTTTTCATGTCAAGTGGGAATTTTATCTGGTTGAGAGGCTGCCTCATTATCTACTAGGAACCCTTCTGACTTTCAAAAGAAAAAGCTATGGTGACCTAGAGGTCAGGTTCCTAGACAACATACTTTACTTTATTGGAATAGAAATAGAGGAGATGAATCCGGTCCCTATTAATTCCCCAGCATGTCCTGGAACATGTGTCCTATTCCCCCAGACTTAGGATGTCATTGTGTGTCCCCATTACTTGAAACTTCCTCTGAGTCCTAACCCGAAGTCCATGAAATAGTCCTGACATCCCCATGTCAATTAAATCACTTTTTTGCCTTCGGCAATTCTCTTAACCTCTCTGACTTTCAGATCTTACAATTATAAAATGAGGAAATTTGCATTTTACATATTTTAGAAGGTGAACTTTGGTCCTACCAAGAGCTGTGATTACATTTATGACAAACTTAAATTGCAAGGCAGCCATGGGCAGCCTTACCCAAAAGGCAGAATACTTACTTAATGAGAATTTTATTTCTGGTCCAGGAAATTTCAGGCTGGGGATAGGATTCCACTGCACACATGAATGTAGCCACTTCTTCAACTAAGGCGTCCACTGTTTCCAGTGGAGTGGTGATGACAGGAGCTACAAGGAGAGATCAGAAAACATTCTAGAATGCTATTTACTAACCCTCGTGAGCAGTCAGAGGCCACCATCTACCTAAATGAGAATTATATTTCCCCACAGCAGAAAATTGCCAAAAGGAAGGGAGACAGTATATAGAGAATTTTGTTTCTACTTCCAAAATAGATGTTTGGGAACCAAAAGAGAACGCTCTCAGGAGAGTAGGATTTAGAATTTATTTTATATAAGTAGGGTCAGATCCAGGTTTTGTGAAGCCCAAAGTTAATGTAATTTGAGTACACACATTGAGGGGAAGAAAACATAAAATTATAAATACAAAATATCCGTGGCCACCCAACACAGATCAACTTGAAGGGAAGAGAAGTCAGAATTGAAAGAGTGATCTTAACAGTTGTTTAAAAACAATTTTTTCTAAATTTCATAATAATATATGTTCATATGAACATATTGCTAATGTCCACTGAGGATCTTAGAAAGGGACTCCTGCAAACGAGATTTTAAAGCTTAGGCTTCATCCAATTTATAAAGAATTCAGATCTGCATGTGAGTAGAGTAGGAAAAGACTCAATAAATAAAAAGACAAGAAACCCAACTAAAAAAAAACTGGGCAAAAATCTGAATAGCCATTTCTCCAAAGAATTTGTACAAAGTTCATTTGTGTTGGAGACACAGCACAGGAAATGATGCTCAGTATCATTAGCCATTAAAGAAATGTGAATCAAAACCACAATTACATACCACTTCATATCTACCACAATAGCTATAATCAGAAAGAAAGATAACAACTACTCTTGCCAAGAAGTGGAAAAACGCACCTTTGTGCATTAGTGGTGGAAATGTAAGATGGCACAGCTTCTGTGGAAAACAGTATGTGGTTCCTCAAAAATTTAAACATAGAATTACCATATGATCCAGTGGTTCCAATTCTGGGTACCTACCCAAGAGTATTGAAAGTAGGGACTCAGATATTTGTAGAACCATGTTCATAGTAACGTTATTCACAATAGCCAAAAGGTGGAAGGAGCCCACATGTCTACCAACAGATTAACAGATAAACAAAATTGGTATATCCATACAAGGGAATATTATATGACAAAAGACAGGAATGAAGTATTGATATATACCATACCATGAATGAACCTTGGAAACAATAAGCTAGGTGAAAGAAACCAGTCAGAAGGACAACATATTGCATGATTCCATTTATATGAAATGTCCAGGTGGGCAAATCTATAGTCAGAAAATACATTAGTGATTGCCTAAGATTGGGGGAGTGGATGGAAGGATTAGGGGGTAAGAGAAGGGTAAAGGACACAGGATTTCTTTGAGATGTAATAAAAATGTTCTAAATTTGATTTTGATGATAAACACACAACTGTGAATTGTAAACTTTAATTTTTTAAAGTTTTTTATAAATTTATTTGAGAGAGAGAGAGAGCACAAACACCAGTGGGGCAAGGGTAGAGGGAGAGGGAGAGGGAGAGAGAGAATCCTAAGCAGGCCCCGCGCTCAGCGCAGAGCCCAACATGACCTCATCCCACAAACCGTGAGCTTATGACCTGAGCTGAAATCAAGAGTCAGATGCTTAACTGACTCAGCCACCCAGGAGCCCTAGTTGTACACTTTAAATGGGTAAAGTGCATAGTATGTAAATTATATTTCAAAACTGGTCTTATCTTTGTTTTTCATTGTTTGTGTGTATGTGTCGCTGCATGTATGTGTGTTCCGCAAAAAGAGAAAATAGGAGAGGCTTTGACATTGTTCTTTCTCTCCTCCTGTCCGCCCATGAAATGAGGGTCACCTGGATTATAGGAGTTAGGAGGACGAGGCTGTTAAGAAGAATGAGAGTCGGTTGATAGTGGGGTGCAGCCCTCTTTAATGATTTAGGAAGTCTGTGAATCCACCAAAGCAAACGGAGTGGGGTCCTGGTCATCTCAAGATCTGGATGGTGTGGGAACGAAAGTGTCAATACCTGTATTTGCATGAGTCTGGAAATCTATCCCATTGCATGACCTTATTTAAAATAATTATCATCATTACCACTTTGTTATCATTATTATTACTTATCAGAGATTTATTTACTGTTTAGAGATTTATTTAGCACCAGGTTGACTAGAAGCAAAAAGATGTGTAAAGCCCATCTCTGCCTTAGAAGAGCCCACAATTTTCTCATTGCCAAGTAGTATTCCATTGTATAGATAAACAACATCTTCTTTGTCCATTCACCAGTTGATGGACTTTTGGGCTCTTTCTATAATTTGGCTGTTGTAAAGTGCTGTTGGAGGATGTTATGCAAGTGAAATAAGTCCAAGAAAGAGAGTTAGCATAAGTTTTTGGTCATAGGTGGAACTTGGGAAACTTAACAGAAGACTGTGGGAGAAGGGAAGGGGAAAACAGTTTCAAACAGAGAGGAAGGCAAACCATAAGAGAATCTTAAGTACAGAGAACAAACCGAGGGTTGATGGGGGGTTAGGCGAGAGGATAAAATGGGTGATGGGCATCGAGGAGGGCACTTGCTGGGATGAGCACTGGGTGTTGTATATAAGTGATGAATCACGGGAATTTACCCCCACAACCAAGAGCATACTGTATACACTGTATGTTGGCCAACTTGACAATAAATTATGTTAAAAAAAAGATTTTTGAAAGATTTCTAATATCATGGAAAAATGTATAAATATGTTTTTAAGTGAAAAAGAAGATTTGAAATGATACATGTATCAAGAAAACAAGTTTGTAAATAATATGAATGTGAATGTAAGTATAAATACTTAGGAAGAAGAATAGATAGACAACAAACCACTAAAAGGTAAGTTTCTATTGTGGTGTAAAAAAAAAGAAGAAGAAGAGCCTACAATCTAGATAATAAGGATGGACGGATACATAAAACGATCAGCTATAATAGCTATGCCTGCTCTCCTGGCATAATTATTAATAGTGCTCCCTGTATTCCAAAAGTATCCGAGTTTGAACAGTCAATTAGATGGTCATTTTAGGTAAAATGCAAGGTACCTATCAGAGCCAAGTAAGTAGTGTGAACAATATTGTAGACGCAGGATAGGGGGTGACAGCCTCATGAGATACCTGGGGCAAATTGGCACACTGGCCATAAAACACGCATCCACAATCTAAACAAACCTTATTTTTTCACTCAACTCAGAGACACATTCATGGGCTGCGCGTAAGGGAACCTGGTGCTTGGGAGTGCCCTACTTAGCCCCCATCTTCCTCCTTAATGTGGTGCTTTTCTTTCTTTTTAAAAAAATTTTTTTAAATGTTTTATTTATTTGAGAGAGAGAGACAGCATGAGCAGGGGAGGGTCAGAGAGAGAGGGAGACACAGAATCTGAAACAGGCTCCAGGCTCTGAGCTGGCTGTCAGCACAGAGCCCGATGCGGGGCTTGAACCCACGAACCCACGAACTGTGGGATCATGACCTGAGCTGAAGTCTGACGCCCAACTGACTGAGCCACCCAGGTGCCCCAATGTGGTGCTTTTAAGATCCAGTTTAAGTAGCATCTTCTCCCAGTTTCCCAGCCTAGCTAGACAGAGCCAAATGCCCTTTTCCTTAGGGGTCATCCTATAAATGTCACTCTTATAGCACTTGTCACACAGATGCTATTAAACTGATCTGTTGATGTTTTTATCTCATACTCCATAATAAAAGCTTTGGGCTTTGGGGCCAACGACCATGTCCTAGACCTTTTACTATCCCCAGGGTTAGCACATTTACTGATGTAATGTTTAAATGAGCTGTATTGCTGAGGCCTTTATAAAAGGCATAAATTTTTTTTAAAGGTTGAAAGCAAATAGTTGAAATAAGAGAGCAGAAAATATTTACATGAAATGACCTCTTTTTTTTTTTAAATATTTTTATTTATTTCTAGGAGAGAGAGAGAAAGACAGTGTGAGCAGGGGAGGGTCAGAGAGAGGGAGTCACAGACTGAAACAGGCTCCAGGCGCTGAGCTGGCAGTCAGCACAGAGCCCGACGTGGGGCTCGAACCCACGAACCGCGAGATCATGACCTAAGTGAAAGTCGGACGCTTACCCGACTAAGCCACCCAGGCGCCCCTGAAATGACCTCTTTTATACACAGGCATCAAGGCTCCTGTGGATAGAGTAAACAATCAATTGTACAGTCATATTGATAAAGAAATAAAAACAATGAATATTATATTACGGTTGCGGTTGCGGGATGCAGGTAATGAGGGCCCAAAGGTGAATTGATAATAGTGAATGCCTTTGTTGTTTACAAAGAAAGACCACTGAGTAGCCAGGCAACGAGAGGCACGCTAGCTAGCACAGGGCTTGAATTCAAAACCTGCTCTGTCACTTCCTGATACACCAGGTCGCTCAGCTCGTGCCTCGGCCTGTTCAGCTGTAGATGGAGAGGATAATAAAACGGCCATAGAGGCTTGTCATGAGGATTAGTTAAATGAATACATGTGAAGCATTTAAATTGGTCCTTTGCACATATGGGACACTGTGTGTTATTTGATTCTGTAATTTCGAAACAGAGGCCTGAACTGTTCAATTGTTCTCCCAGTGTCTGGATAACTTGCAAATTTACCGTTAATATTTACCTCTGGGAATCTATCCCAAGGAAATAATCTCACCGTGGAAAGGCACACAGATGACTTTCACTGTACAGGATAGGTTAATTGTACTGGATCGTACGAATCGTGCTGAAGGGGAAGAAAGTTTCGGCCCACGTTTCTGCCTCATAAGTGCAGTTCTCTGGAGCTGGCTTGTACTGGCTTGCTAAAGCCAAGCGTTAATTTCTCCAGAATTCTGTGAGACGATTGTTAAATACAGCCATTATTAAAAACTGCTTTATACTTTGTATGGTGACAGATGGTAGCTAGATTTATAGTGGTAATTACTTCACAATGTATATAAATGTTGAATCTCTATGTTGTACACTTGATACTGATATAATATTGTATGTCAACTATACTTAAATTTGAAAAACTAATAATTAATGAAGATGATCACAAAAG